ATTTATGGTGTTGGTTGAGGAATCAAACACTGGGTTTGATTTTCATTCAGAGCTCATATTTTTCTTCCATAGTTGCATGCTATTGCGGATCTGCGAGAGTAATTTCGTTGTTTCTGGTTGGTAATTTTTAGTAGTAGCAGTCAGAAGATCTGGATGAGATTTCTTTTGGCATAAGTCCTCAAATTTCTTGACAAGCTTAGGGTCAAGTTCTGGATTTGGGTTGAGCCTTTTACATGTGACCATTTCATGCCTGAGCTGCCTAGATTCATTTTCTCGTTTGGAAAATTTTGTATTTTTGTTAGTAAAATATAAGTCAACTAATGAATCATTGCTGATATCTTGATAATTAATATAACGTCATAGATTTTTTTTCATCTGAATTAGAAATTTCAGTAATTTAATGAAATGTTATGCTTCTCCCTGGTGCAAAATCTTGTACACCTTGATTCTTCGATTTAGAGCATAATCTTCATTTGAAATTGACTGCATTCTTCAGAATGTTCAGAAGTTTCTAATTTATTATCTGCAAGAACAATATTGTAGTCAATATTTTCATTGTTAGTTGCTTCTTGAATTTGTGTAACTTGGCTTCCTGAAGGAAAGATTTTTTAAGGCCCTGTTTGGTCCTCATTATTTTTTTTATTCTCATTCTTCTACTTATTTTCAACCACACATTCTTCAATAAAATAATATTTTCTATCACATCAATAAGTTTTCCTTCTTTTTCAACCACATATTTCCCATCACATCAACAGTAAAAATGCATTCTTAACTTCAAAATGTGCACCAAACGGGGGCTAAATTTAANAACTTCAAAATGTGCACCAAACGGGGGCTAAATTTAATACTTTCCAAATCTGGTCTGTAGTTGGCTTGTGGTTTTGAGATTTAAGCCTAACTGCTCGGATAAGAGATATTTTCCCTTTCAAAGAAGATTTATGTCTTTCTTTGTCAATGCTTCATCTTCTAGGCAAGGTTATCCTTATGTGAAGGGCTGTGGACCAAGTAATTGCAAGTATGTCTTCTTTAAAATTCTTTCGTTAACTTAGACTTGTTTTTGAACAACTTACTGAAGTTAGCAGCACTTAATACTTAGGTAAATTAATTTTAAAACTAACATTAATTTAATTTTCTTTTTCTAACTAAACCATTGGTGCAAATCTTTGTGGTGGGGTGGGGATATGTTATGGTTTCCATTACAAGATATAAGACTTGAATCCCATATAGCAAGTATGAGCTTTCGGTTTGTGATTTATATAGACTTGGGCTATAAACAACGTTAACAATTAGCTTTTGAGATATATGACTTTTCCAAGATCTATAAAAGTGTAGGATAACCCCAAGGGGTTGTGGGTTTTTTCTACCAATTGGGGCTCTCCCTTCACCAAGATCAATATCAATGATATCTGAGCGGGCACCGTGTCTCTTGGTTGCAATCGAGTAGCACGGATGGTGACATCAGCAAAGGTATGGGATTTGAATCCCATATCGAAAGTATGGGTTTTTGATTTGTGGTTTATATAGACTTGGATTTTCCAACGCCACAACTAGCTTTTGAGGTATGGCTCTCCAAGATCTATATTAGGATACAACCTAAGCTTCATACATAGAATGAAATACTCGTCAGACTTGTTTGAAAGGTAACACTGGCCTAGTTTACAATGTGTTGATGTTCCCTTTCCACGACAACATTTTTATTCTGGAGTGCTTGAGGAAGAAACTGTTCTTGGTTTCTCACATTTATTGAAGTGTTGTTCACAACTCTTTAGCTCTGGGAAAAAATTATTTTGCAATTAAATTAATTCTCATCACGAGCTCTTGAAATTTGAGAAAACTTCAAAGGAATTATGAAAAACCAAGTATTTTTTAAATCGACTACAAGGATGGAGTTCTCATGAAATATAGAAAATAAACTACAACTTAAGATGGGGACTGACACAGAACATAATGCAGAAAGAGAAAAGGGTAGAGAAAGAGAAGAAACAGCAGAAACATGAGAAGAGTTGTAGGGAGTAAATACATATCAATAGTCAATCATTAATCAAGGTTCCGAAAAATGAAATCCAAGGTTCTATTTTGTAGAGCAAAGACCTTAAGTCTGAGGGAACTTTTAATAAATAACTACTCTAAATGAAAGAATTACAGACAATCAAAACTGGACATAAATGAAACTATCTTTATTCCTCATCTACTATGAATATCTTCCATCCTTATTTTTATTCCCCATCAGGGACGTAAGGCCCAGCCTATAGCAAATGAAACACAAATTTCAAGTGCTTACCCCAATCCATAACAATTGGGAGCTATGGTAAAATGAACTGTACATTAAACATAATTTTCTCTCTTCATGCTTACTCGATTCATACCAATTGGAAGCTAAGACAAAGTCCATAACTTCTCACAACATCTGGACGTAAGGTTTTTATGTGAGAGCTTATGGCGCTCTGAAGCTTAAGCTTCATCATAAACAAAAAAAAAATGTCAAAAAATTATTCAAATGAAAAATAAGCACAGTAAATTAAGGTGTGCAAACAAATTAAAGAAAATTCTATAAAGAAACAAAAGAAACTATTACTTTAGTTGGTGGGGGCAGTGGAATATTCTTAAATTGGGCCAATGAGCCGATTTCTAATGTGGGTTTATAACACATTTTTTAATATTTGAATGGACTATTTTCAAAGTGGGTCCATTATGGTTTTTAATGCTTTGTGTGCCCACACCTAAAGCAAAGTAAATAAATCCGGAAAACTAAGGAGTGCACAGCTTATAATCCTTGAAGCTTGTGCCTCAAAATTGTCTCACAATCTGTGCCTTGAGACGTTTTTTGTTTTCCTTGCTCTAAGCTAGGCCTTAAGTCATGCCTCAATCAGGATTTTTTTTAATACAATATTCATAGGTTTAGTGGGAAAAGTATTTTACATAAATTAAACAACTTAAGATTGAAAAATACAACGAGACAAGCAGCAGGGTGACTAGTAGAGGAACCATGGGGCAAAATATGAATGAAGTAACTTGAGAAAGTGGTATGGAGAGAGAGTTTAAAAACAAGATGATAAATTTATAGAGAGAGAAACTGCAGGTAGAGACAAAAATTAAAATTGAAAATAAGATGCTGATAGTTTTCCTGAGAATGCTGGGTTCTCACCAATTCCAATTTCATATGTTGCCAGAATATATGGTCCCTTTTCTCGCTTTTTATGCTTTTTGCTTGCTAAGTTTCTTTTGAAATGGAGTAAGTTTTATGTCTAGATTGTTTTATGTTATTGCTATTTCTATATAATTTCTTCTCCCATCCTTTTTCTTGGTTCTGAATTTTAAGGTTTCTTTTGTACGACACAGGTATCACGAACTGAATTTTTTTCAAAAAGTAAAACCTAAAGAATAAAACCATTTGTACATAATTTTTCTTACCAAAAATGTTACCTCTCACGTGTGCGCGGGGCCCGTGTGAATAAAAAACTCCCAAAAATATGGTCTCCACACCCTATTGTGAGTGTTGGTAAAAGATTAGGTAAATTTTTTTTTGTACATGTAGCATTGTCCAAACCTGAAGCCAGAAACAAAATTTGTGTCAAAAAAAAAATTCCCTTTTTGGATTTTGTCAAAATCTGTTTCTGATGTATTTTTTTTTTTTCAATATGGAGATGGAATTGGTGACAAAAATATTCCGCCACTAGAATTCTATCACAAAACTTATAGCTGATATAATATTAACTATCAAAACATAAAATACAAAAATCAAATACTTTTATTAAAACTAGCATCAGATTTTGTGAAGGGATAATTCTTCTTCCACCTCTTGCGAGTTTGAGCCGTCTTGTACACATGCACATATTTTGCACAAAACACGCACACTTCATCTCTTGAGTTATCTTGTACAAATGCACACATTTTGCACAAAATGTGCACACATTTCACCCTATTAAATCATAGAGAGAACCCTAGTAGTGAGGGTGAAACCTCAATGAAAGAGTTCAGTTCGATGAAAGAGTTAAGGAAAAATCAAGATTCTAAATCAGGACTGATGGTCGTACTTTCTGGACCATGTGCTCTATTATGCTTGAGTACAAAGTTGTTTTTGAAGATTGCTATTTGAGGTTTTAGAATGTGAAGTGTAGAAAAGGGTTCCACGCGGTGTCTATTGTGGTGCTACCACCCCAGGGTTCTTGCCATTGAGGTGTACAAAGGATAGAAGTTATAATGACGGGATAAATAGAGAGTAGATGTAGGTTCCAATTGGCCCAACCATGGTTCCTGGAAGGGATGAAGGTGTAGCCGAGGGTGAATGTAATGCGAAAAATAATGAAGATGGAGCTATAGATCTATCTTCTGGCGATGAAACAGTTTGTGGTGAAGGTTTAAAAACAATAAAAAAGTTGAATTTCAGGAAAAGATGAACATTCAAGGTGAAATAGTACTATGGGGGTATTGGTGGCAATGCTAATGCAAATGGTGAAAAGTGATGTTTCAAGGAGAAAAGCACAATAGAAATTTGGAAAATAGTAAAAGAAGAAAAGCATCAGGAGAAAATCTGTGGCAAAGAATTCAAATAAGTTGACAGGGAGAGGCTTAAAAGTTGACATTGTGGAAGCACTTTTGATGATGGGTAACGTTTAAAAATAGGTAATTGAAGGAGATAGGGAATTAGATCCTGGTTTTGGAGCAGGGGTGATTGGAGTTGGGATCATTTCTTCCTCATAGTAATAGTGCTAATATTGCAGNAAAAAAAAAAAAAAAACACCCAAGTAGTGAGGGTAAGCTCTGAGTTCTACCCTCAGTTTGTCAGTGTATTAGAAAGACAGGAGAGAAGCAGGTGAAACAATGAGGACACTTTTGAGTAAACAATACAAAGGAATGGCTCTGTCTCTTCACCCTGATAAAAACAATTTATCAGTCTGTTGCAGCACAAGGAGCATTCAATTCTTTCTCAATCACGGAGCGTGCTGTTTAATAAGGTCAATTAACTAGTGTATGTTCAGAAGCTGAATTTCAGAGCTCCAATGCAGAGGGCTTCAGTTGGACACCCTCCATTTCCAGCTGATAAAAATAGTTTAGTTTTCAGAAATTCACCAGTTGCTCCAGCTCACTGTCTGCAAGGTTATGGCAACTTCCTGCAAGCCCAACATGTACCAATGCACCCGAGGACTTCGGTTATCACCATTCAGTTCACATTACAATCCTTCTCCACCTTGGCCAAGGTATCCGCCAACTGCCACTGCTGCCCAACATATTCAAGTCATCAAAAGACTCCTGAAATAGCCACCAATTCTCAGTATGTTCCTACTCCACCCCGGCCAAGGGATTTAACAACTGTCACCAGTGACCAGTATATTACTACTCATCATAAAACTCCAGAAATCACTACCAATTGTCAGTACACATCCACTCGACCCCAGCCGAGAAATCCAACGTCTCTACCACCGGGTGCCTTACACATGACTCCAGAAACTGACACGAATTCTCAGTATGTTCACATTCATATTCATCAAAGTCCTCCCGAAATTGTCCCTATTTTTAGTGCTTTGCCACCCCGCTTGTTCCAAGGAATCTGAGACCCTCGAGCATCATCACCACCCTCCTTCCAGGAACTCTGCCAATCCCAGTCCTCATCAAGACCTGAAATTTTTTGGACATCGAGCCATTAGTGAAGGATGCGATATGAGCACCTGAAAAGAATATATATTTAGTTTAAAGCTATGTTTTACATACCTTATGGCGGATTTACAAAATTTTTAAGAAGGTTTCTTTTTTCCAATACCTTGAAGTACTTTTATTACTTTTACAAAATGAAGAATTATCTGCACAGCATCAGTAATAGCAAAATAAATTGCAGGAGCTACCAGATTCCATTCGTGTGAATGACAAATATTTGAAGGTCTATATCAGACTTGTTCAGTATATAGGACATTGTGATAGCTATGTTCTCAAGATGTACAAGGTATGTATCTTTGTTATTCAGGTTACTTCTATTTGATGCCAAAAATTACATTTTGAAGAGATAAAAAGATAATGTATATATTATTAGAACATGTTAAATTTAAAAGCATTCACTTGTGTTGGTAGTCCGTTAAAAATCCGTCCATTATGTACTTACTTTAAGAAAGCAAAAATTGCAAGAAAGTTGCTGATGTTCTGTCACAGAATCCATTAATAGTGTTGTATTTAAAAAAAAAAATAATAATAAATATATATATATATATATTGAAAATTAAATAGCATCAGATTTGTGAAGGGATAATTCCTCTTACATTAGTAGCGAGACCAAGCTATTGTGTTCACACGCACATATGTTGTATAACATGCACCAACTTTATTTCCCGAGCTGTCTACTACACATGCATACATTTTGCACTAAACACGCACATATGTCATCTCCCAAACTGTCTTCCTCCTTCCTTTAAAAGAGAGGATGCTAAATTTACTATTCATCTCGTGCCCTCTCTTTCACACTTGAACTGGTTTTATATTGTTCATTATGTGGTTGCTTTTCCCCCTTACTTTAAAAGAGAGGATGCTAAATTTACAATTCATCTCGTGCTCTCTCTTTCACACTTGAACTGGTTTTATACTGTTCATTCTGCGGCTGCTTTTCCTTTCTACTAAAATTCTCTCTTTTTATTATATAATAATTAATTAATGGTTGAAAATCGGCCATCCACTTCCTTTATATATTTGAGACTATATTGACAACAATCAATAGAGGCCCACTTCATTTAATGTTCATTTCAATTTGCATGTTCATTTTTTTGAAATGTTCATTTGGCATCCACTTCGTTTACTGTTCATCTCACATATATTTGACTATAATTAACAACAACCAATGGAAGCCCACTTCATTTAATGTTCATTTAAATTGACTGACATTTGTTCTATTCCAAATTCAGATTATATTCATTTTCCTATGTACTGCATATTTTTTCTTCTGACAATGTATTGTGGTACCCAAATTCTTTCGTAGCAATCTTAATTTGATTTTTGTATCGAAATCTTCTCTCTATCTTTAGGTGTATGCATATCTTCTCTCCATCTTTAAGTAAAGATAAAGAGGTCAAAAAAAAAAAATTCTCACTGACTGTACCGGCGTTTTCCATCCTTCTCGCCACGGATTGTTGCTGGTTAATTACTACCAATAGCCATCACCTACTAGGAGGCGACAATCAAGTTCGGTGGTGGCTAGGCGAATGTCGCTGTCCCCTGGTCGACGGTTGTCCGGTGGGATCAAACTCACACCAATAATGGACTCTCCTGGGAAGACGAAGATGGCTACTATTGCAGCTGTGGCAAAGTTTCAGAGGCCCTTGTGGGGCCTGCAAAACTGGGCGGGAAGAGTTGGGATGAAGGACGAGCTCTGGCTGGCGGAGGTTCTTATAAGCGGAAAGAAAAGGCTGTAACAAAGAATAGACCGGATTTTAAGGCTATTTTGAGAACTAAGGTTAGTTCCTCTTTCAGATTTCTGTAAATTTATACCAATTTCTTTATGTCAATGCATAACAATGCATAAGTGAGATCATAATTCTGGTCAGTTGATGAATCCATGTTTGATTTGTTGAATTTTACTCTTACCAGAGGACAATTATTGTGATTAGAACGAGTTAAAAATATTTAGGGTGCCAGATTAATAATAATATTAGCTTAAGTATTAATTTTAAGAAAGAACCACAACATCCTGAAAATGTAAGTATATAATTATTTTTCTCAAATTTTTTCTCCTTTAAATTGTAACTATTGTTCACTAATCAAAAATTCCTTCAAGAATTTGCCTAATTTATTCTTATTTTTCAAAAAATTAATTTTTTTTCTTGGTAGTTGTACTTATGAATTGATATATCTGAATCTTGGAAGGGGAAGAAGATTAAATTGCAGGGAAGCAAATTACAAACAATAGAGAAAGCCACAAGAAGAGAAATAAATGGACCTTACTACAAGATGTATTCAAATTCTCCAATTTTTATAAAATTAAGCTTAACTTTCATGTTTTAATTTTTTTCTTTTTCTTGAATTGGCAGGTTGATAAGTTGAAGAAGAAACAAGGCATGAAGAAAATGTTCGTAGAGCTTTAGAGATGGCTCTCAATAGACCCTTACGAGCTCTACCTCGTCTTCCTCCGTATCTCCCTCAAATATGTAAGTATTGACATTTTGGGTATACTGAAGTGGACAATCGAGTATTTGTGTAGCAAGTATTTCTTATTAGTTTAATTCCACATTACTTTAGATCTGTCTCTATGCCTTTACTACTACCACATTGGATTTCATTAGTTTTCGTTTGGCGTAGGCAAAAGGACTAATGGCATAATTGGGAATGATTGTTAAGTAAATTGGAAATTTTAGGCCAATGATAGGTTCATCGTACTTCATTGTAATCAATCTTATGAACCTGTGATTGTGTGTGTGATGTTGTAGACTCTAGAACTTCTAGCTAAATTAGTTGTTTTGGAATAGGAGGTTGTTTGACTCGAGGAACAAGTTGTGTATTTTAGACAAGGTCTCTCTCAAGAAGCTGTTTACATAGCCTCTCTGACGAATTCAGAGGATTCGATTGGTTCATTCAGTGATTCGTTGATTACTACTACAAGAAAAAGTCACTCAAGATCTTATCTCAAATAGAAGTTAATCCGGGTTCATCCTTGGCAATGCCTTCACAATCTTTAACTAGATGTGCTTCCAGTCGAAGGTTATTATCATCTGATGGTGTTTTCAATGGCACGAGGAATTGCACAAAGAGGCCAGCGAATGGAAAGCAATAAATAAAGCTAACAAATCTTTGGAAGATCGATTAGTAATCGAGAATAGATCTTGTCCAAATTCTGTCAAGAATAGAGCAATGGATGCCTCAATAAAGAGACATCTTGTGAAGCCTGAATCAATAGTAAAATGTCTAAATCCCTTGAAAATGCAGGTCTTCAGATAATGTATCAGAAGCGTTGGTGATGCTGAGCTGTTGACAAGTTAATGTGTTCGTGTAATTAATTTAAATTTAGAGAAAATAAGTATGAAGATTATGATTCCAATTATATTGGCAGGAATTTTTTTTTTAATTGAGTGGTCTGCAGAGGATTTAAGTTTCTTTCTCTCTGGCCACCATATTGAAGATTACGTGATCAAACATATCATGCATTCTATTTTAACTTTTCTTGCATCATGCAAGGAGTTTTGCTTATCATCTACATGTTGAGTAATATTGAGTTCTATAGTATTTGAGGATTTTATCTGTTTAGTGCTATGACGCATTGGACCAAACATGTTACTCTCGTGTAACTCTCCTTGAAGCATGCTGGTAGTTTGATTGTTGTAACATTTGTTGGGTAATCATGAATCTCATTGTATACTATTTTGATGCCTTTGCAAGGATAGTCGGCTAAATGACAACAGCTTGACAGGAGCCATCCCCATGTCTTTGACTAATATCTCAACACTACAAGTGCTGTAAGTTTCTAAGTTTTTCTCTGTTCTTTGATAGTTCTAATTGGTACTTTGCTTTGCCTCTTCCCTCACTTAACTGTGCGTTAACTTCAATTTCTTGTAAGAGCTTCTGATTGTTCAAATTGCATCCTTGTGCAGGGATCTGTGAAACAATCAACTTTAAGGTGCTGTTCCAGATAATGGCTCGTTTTCTCTGTTCACCCCAATCAGGTTCTTGCTGCTACATGCCATGGCTATATTTTTGAACGGAGAATATCATAATTTTAAATTAGTGGTTAACACAAGGGATCTTCCAATCCGCAGTTTTGCGAATAACTTGGATCTATGTGCTCCAGTCACTGCACGTCCTTGCCCGGGATCTCCTCCATTCTCTCCACCCCCAATATCTTTGCTGGGTAATTGTCCTATTTAGTGGTGGCGTAAGTAGCCGATTTTCTGTTATTTATTCACCTTCAATTCTTTAAATTTATTTATTTAAATACTATATCCACACTACCTATGTATTCATCCCACTGTAAATCTATGAACAAAAATTGTACCTCCCCGTTCAAGACAGAGTCATTCTCCATACACTCGATGCTGCCCGGAGAGTAAAAAAAATTAAAAAAAAACTCTAATAAATAATTTTCACATACACTAGCGAATAATGGAACCAAAAACAAAAAATCTAATATCATTACACAAATTAAACGGAAAAAATAAACTATAATACCTACTTAACTATAAACAATTTTTACCAAGCTTAAAATTAAATAATTTTCATAATATAAACAATAATAATATTAGCACTTAAAAATAATTTCTCACCTATCCCCCTTATCCATTTACTTTCCACCTACCTACACCATTTATCTCTTCTCATTTAGTCCCACCAACTTCCCCACAGATTCATTCATCTTCTCAGTTACACCAATTTTCCCATGCCATCATTCATCTCTTCTCATTTACTCACACCAATTTCCCCACACCATCATTCATCTTCTTCTCTAGAATTCAACAACAAAAAAAAAAAACCCCACCTCCGTATCAACTCTCACGGCCACTTTCGAAAAAGGTACAACTACACTACCTTGTAGACAAAATATTATTTGCTTTCTTTGGATGTTAAATATGAGGTTTGTTTTATGTTATTTCCATCTAATTTTCAATAGTTAAGTGGTATAATTCAGCTTGATTGTAGTAAAGATTTACGAAAATTAATTACGTTTCTCATAGGGATTTTAGTAACTAATTTGCATCTTAAGTATATTACTCTACATCTACATATGTAAACGTGCTTCTTAACTGAATTGGGTTCTTCGCATCCTTCATGCAGATGTCTTTGGAATATATAATTTCACCAAATCAATGATGTTCTGCTACCATAACACAATAACCAAATCACCAGTACTTTGAAGATTTCATAGTGCTTATCAATTCAGATCAACAATCATAATTGATGTGTGGTAACTTCCACGGATTTATATATGTTATTCTCCAGAAAAGTGAAGGCGAACAACAATTCAGTAGTAAGATAATTCATGAGTTTATACTGCTCCTTGTCAACTGTGGTAAAAATAATGAAGTTTGGGTAAAATTAAATGACCAATTAGCCCGCTTCAGTCTGCAAGATTTTTGTCTCATAACAGGATTACCTTGCCACGAGGTATCTATGAACCTCGACTTTACCAACGATCGACTTCGAAATCAGCACTTCAATGGTCACAAAAAAATAAGAATGACAACACTTTCTGAAACATTCCACCTTTGTGAACATCAAGAAGATAAATTAAAACTAGGGCTGGTCATGCTCATCGAATGCATTTTAAAACCTACTGGCCGATATATTGATCATAGAACTTTGAGCACGGTTGAGAACATTGATGCTTTCCTTGCATATCCATGGGACCGTAAAGCATAAGTTGTTTTATTAAATTCATTACAAGCGTCCCATTTAGAAAGAGTACAGAGAATGCAACAGAATGAACAAACAGAATCGAAGTATTCATTACATGGATATCCACTATCATTCCATGTACGTTTATTCTATTTTCTTATTATCACTACTCTATATATAATTCCATTTACTTGTATAAATATTACATATCTAATATATATATGTTCAATTATATCAGTACTGGATGTACGAAGCATTCGCACAAGTTGGATGGAAATTTGGCCGACCTAGATATAAAACACTACAAACACCAAGGATGGTCAGGTGGAAGCCAATTACAATCATGACAGAAAATACAATTCGACAATTTTTGGCCACACATGAGATACTTTAACTATTTGATTATATTCCTAATCACATAACATTACAAATTTATTTATTTATTTATTTCTAAAAATAATTCCTACCAAATTATTTACATATTTTACTATAATTACAGATTCAAGTAATTGCAGTATTACAACCAACACAAGAAGAATTACAAACGATGTGGTATATAAATCTTTCATTGCCGCAAGACAACCTCCATCACATACTCGACAGCATTGTCAACGGAGAATTAAACAGTATACCACAACAACTCCCCCACACGGATAACATACCAACTACTTGTAATACTTCAGTTCCAAATGCCTCAAGTTCTACTCCTATGAGCTCCACTTACGTCACTAGAGAGGAAATGGAACAACTGATGAATACGCATAGGCAGCATATCTTATCAGATGTATTTGAGTTATGCAACAACTTGAAAACAACCATTGTAGCAGATGTATCTGGGTTACGAAGAGGATTGAGAACAACCATTACTGAACAATCAAATAGACAAAAAATCAGTATGAAACAATTCTTTAGCGACAGAAAGAATTGTTTGATCAACATCAGAAGTAGGAATAAGACCACTATGAAGAAATGCAATCTAGAATGCACTCGGGGGACAATTCAAATTACCAAATTCTTCTTGACAACCAAAACCATTTCTTCAAACAACAACGACAATGGCGAGAAGAAAACTACCAAACAAAATCCATTCTACCATGCAAAATCATGTAGATAATAGTTTAAGCTCAGTACGAGCTTACATTGACGAACAGAATATCAATGTCGTGGACAAGTTGTCTACATGGAAATCAAACATGGGAGCTATTATAGGTTCTCTTCATGAAGATGCTCCTACCCCTATTAATTTCATGTTCATACCCAGGCAACACATGGTATCTATTTTTTGTCAATATTCCCGAATGGAAAGTTCAAATATACGACTGCAACAACAACACTCATACATAAGAACAAATCAAGGCACATTCAAATGCAGTTGTTGAATTGACGACAGGATTATTGATGTTTTTGAAATTTGCTTACTACAGACGCTACGTGGAGAAACATACGAACAGAACAATGGAGATAGACATCATACCATATCAACCTTCTGTAAATAACGGGTAAGTATGTAAAACATTTATTTCTCACTATAATATTTTGTTCCCTACTTCATAGAATTGTACATTTATCATACTCATTACATTAAATGTTAAAACTATGTCTTCCGTAGGCCAAACTGTGGAGTTTTTTTACTCAAATACATAGAGTGCTTCATTCTCGGCTACCGAATAGAAGTAGTTTCTGCAGATAGAATGACTTCATATAGACGCAAGATTGCCGTTGATATCTGCTTCAATGAATACTTGCTACATTCTCATTGATTCAATGGGCCGCAACTTGAGATAATGTTGTAACAATGGAGCACCATCATGAAATTAATCTAAACGACAATGCCCAGGTATGTTTCATGCAAAGCAGATGCCTTTGGTGCTCCTGTCAAACAGGAACCCTTTCATCGGTCTTCCATTTCCATAGGCACATGGCTCTGCCTTTGGTCTGTCTTCACTTGACTTAAAAATATTGAGCTTGCTAGTATTGCCGAGGATAGTGGGATATTTGGTAGTGGATCTACAACACTTATACCTGAAGTCTTGAAACCTGATCTCAAGTGCTCTTCAGGATCCGTAACTTCACTAGGATCATTTGAATGATTTTCTTCCCGAATTGGAGTTAGGTTTTCTCCAAACTAGCTAACGTTGTCATCTTCTTCTTCTTCAACCCCAATGATGGTTTTTGCAGCCTACTTTATATATTTGATACTAGTTTAGCACTGTATTTGCACGAATATTTCAATTTGTGTTATTTTATCGCTTAAAAGTTAAAAAAATTCATTTTCCCTCTTTAACTTTTCCCTACTTTTTAATCACATATTTGAAAAAAACTCAATTTTCTCAAAATCTATTATCAAACGACCTCTACCAACCATTCACAAAAGTTGCGATCTTTTATTAGACAGACCTTTTGTTGTATTTGTGTCACGAACCTTTCTGTAGTCCCAGACTTAGCTTTCAAAGAAATGCATGATAATCCGCAAAGAATGGTTCAAAACTTTTAGTTAGGAGAAATGACAGGATATGCTAGAAAGACCAATCGGAAAGCAGTGTCAAGATTTCCCATACTTCTCAATATATCCCTCAACTAGCTTTTCGAATTTGGCCCAAGACACGTTAAGATATGACTTAATAGATTTGCTCCTGCTAGGAATTTGGTGCTGTTGAAATGAGCTAAGAACTTTGTCAACTGCCTTATTAACTATCACTTTGTGTGCGTCCTTGCTTAAAAGGCCTTCAAGCCAAGTTGGTTTTACCAAATCCTTAACATATTCCACAAGAACATCTTGAAAATGTCTAAGGGCCTATTTGATGCACCAAAATTTTCATGGAAATGGAAATCAAATTCCAACTTCCACTTTTAGTCGTGTTTGATATGGACAATTTTCTAGGCAAATGTTTTTCCTCTCTCTACCTCGCGCCTCATTTTCTTGGTTCTTGTTGAATTCCTTTTCCCACCATTTACCATTTTGGTGGGAAAATGGAATTTCAGTTTTTTTTTTTTTTTGGCAATTGGAACAAATTTTATAACCAATTATAAAAAAAAAATCATTTTAATGGACATGTAAAATAAAGTTAAACGAACACTAAACTTTCATGAAAAAATGATTTTCTTCGAAATATATATATATATATATTTTAATTTTATTATTATTTTTTTTACTTTTTGGTAATGGAAAAAAATTGTATAACCAATTGTGGAAAAAATTATCACTTTAATGGACAATTTTCATGTAAAACAAAGCCAAACGAATACAAAAAGATCCAAAATTTTAAAATTTTCTGGGTCTAAAATTATACCAATCAAACATACTTAATTAACAATTCCTTGAAAAACAAGTTCTAGGTAATTATTTTATCTGGAATTCATTTTCTTTCCACTCATTTTCCACCATTGCAATCAAACGGACCCTAATTTCTTTTGATTCCTTCTGTAGATATCCACATCTGCACAAAACACGCACGCCCCATCTTTTGAATTGCCTTCTACAAATGCACTTATTTTGCACAAAATGCGCCCCCCCCCCCCCCAAACCCTAGTAGTGA